ACTGCTTTCAATCCAGTCTTATATCTACCTGGATCCTTCAACGAATATTTGTTGACTGATCCACATAGTCAGGCCACCTTACCCATGCCCCCCTCGAGCAGCAAACATCTCATGGAAAGGGAACTGGCGGTGCAGGTCTTTCTCAATCACATCCAGCCACTTGGGGTCCCCAGGGGCCCGTTCCAGCTCCTGTAGTGGGACAGCAGGGATTATCTCAGGATCTGGAGGAGCTGACACACCTTGCATAGCCACATGTCCCCATACCCTGGAGCTGCACGCACCTCAAATTTGCCCGGGTTCTGCTCCAGGAGTTCCTTGCTATTAGACAGGTATTGCCAGGCCTTGGCTCTGAGGGAGGAGGGGATCCCCTTCCGGCAGCGCAGTTTGACCTAAGGCACAGTGGCAGCCAGGGGGATAGCTTCAGAGGCTGGCACAGCCTTCGAGCTTTCCCCAGCAGTCCCTCAGACTCCCTGAGACAGTCCTCCAAATGTCAGATTTTACTCCACTGGACCTGGCCTGACCTTCTACTTAAGGCCTGACCTTCTACTTAAAGTTCTTCTTACCCCCAGGGCCCACGTACTACCTATCCCCAATGTGGTCCAGAGGGCACATATTATCAGTTTCCTGAGCTTCCAAGGAACACATGCCCTCCCCAACCCTTATATGTTACCCAGCCCACCACACAACCCTCTCAAACCTTCTGGAAACGCCGTGACAGCCACTTATCCCAGTTATTGAACATCTCCAGCCATTTGAGCTCCCGCTGCCGAGCCACATCCACAGGAATGGAGCTCTCTCTGCAGGATGGGGTAGGGGAGCATGGAAGGGGTCAGTAACAATAGTATAAAACCTGAGCTACTGGGAGAATTGAGCCGGTCACCTTACTAAGCTCAAATGATAAAATGGACTTCTTGTGAGCTACTAAAATCAGAATATTTGGTCATTTGGCCATCCAAGGCCCTAGTCATATTAATAGGGATTGCTTCCCTATAGGACCTCTATACAGAGGTCATGTTCAAAGCCTACCCATTTTTGGCAGGTCAAAATTTGAGGAACAAGTATAGAATAATTAAGTCACATTTTGCATAGCTTTACCACTTATTCATTGTGTGACCTTGGGCAAGTCACTTAATTTTTATAAGCCTCAATTTCCTCATTTATAAGGTAGAGAGAATAACAGTATCTACCTGAAGGAGTTTGTTGAAAGGTTATATGAAATAACACACAGCAAGAATCTAAATAATAGCAATTATTATCTATCAAATAAAAACACAAGATATGTACTTCTTTGTCTCCTTAGGAGCAACTGCCTGAATTTCATTCTTTCAGACTCTTGAGATCCCTTGGACCACCTGGGATTTCCTCTACCACCACCTCTCTGAAATCTCCCCAGGTTCCCAAATAAAGTCCTCATTGCCTTGTTTGCTCACCATTGTCAGAGTTTCTTACTAAAGTGCCCATCTGTCTTGAAACAGTTACTTGTAGCAGCCAGTACCAGAAGATACGAGAAAGAGCTCCAGTCTTAGAAAACAGATAGGCCTAAGCTCAGAACTTAGAAGCTGGGGAGTCTTGGCAATGATAACCTGTTTAACCTGAGTCTCTTCCTCAGCTATAAAAAGGGATGCTACCAGCTACAAAGTTATGAGGAGACTATTGAGAAAATTTATATAAAGTACACTGTTAAAGGGTCTCATTATAGTTTCTTTTGTTCCAGAAGTTCCTAAACAGGGACATCTCTCATTAATCTCTATCGTATGCAGTTCCAAACTCTACTAAGAGCTGGGAAGAGGAGGATACCTTTCTTCCCACAAGAACATCACACCTTAAGGGGAGATATGGAAATGCAATAACAAAGATGCACACAAGAGGCATGTAATTGCAGTGGGAGCAGTGGGTATCAGGGAAGGCTTCCTGTAGGAGAGGACATCTGAAGTAAATCATGATTGAATGGAAATGAGCAGGCAATGAAGGCTAGCAGATAGGACAGCCTGAAAAATGACAAGAAGTTCAGCAGTACCACAGCACAAAGTGCCTGAGGAGGAGTGGTGGGAAATCAGAACAGAGAAGCTAGCGTTCCTGGACAATAAGGGGCCTATGTGTAGGCTGAAGAGCTTAAACTTTACCCTATAGATGACAGGGAGCCATGAAAAACTTGAAGAGCTTTCAAGATAATGTGTGCCACAGCTAGCCTTGCCCCTCAAGAGAAAGTTTTCTCTGGCATGAAAGAAGAGACTTTGGAAAGACAAAATTACAAAGCAGAGAAAGAGCAACTAGCACAGTGCCTAGCACACAAAAAGAACTCTCTGAAATTTAATTCAACCCAAATTCCTTAGGACAGCCTGGAAAGAACCATTGGTCACACAGATCTACATTATTTGAGGGAGAGAATTTACTCACTGCTTTGTTTCTTCCTCTATAAGCTGAGTACAAACATGCACCCATAAGTGTTGAAAAGCACCAAAGTCAAACTTCAGTTACCTTCCCCTCATTGGACAAAGAATGTTGGTGCTTAATCAAAAGTTTCCTGATTTTTGTTAGCTTATACATCCTGTTTGCAATACCCAAAAGCCTTCCCCCACCCCCAACCCACAGTCATGACTAAATCCAATTCATTCTTCATGATTCAGACCATTTTCAGCTGAATTCCCAAACGAGGTAAGAGGCACCTTCCCCAGGTGTTTACAAAACCATATGATGAGCTCTGGGCTAAACCTGATTATATTGAAACCAACTGTTTAAGTTTTCATCTCTACCTCCAGATGAACTCTTTGAAAGGATTACTTTATCCTTAATATGCAGCACAGGGCCTTGAACCTGTGTGCTCAGGCAATACTGTAGGTGAACTGACCAGCAGGTTAAGGGGACACAGGAATAATGGGACAGGATACAGAGAGAGAAGGAAGAAGACAGAAGCCATCACACCCCCACTTCAGGAGTGACTCAGGCCCCTGGAAGGAACTAGGAAAGAGTAAGGCGGGCTGGGGAGATGAGGAAATGGGGAAGAGGCTTTCCCCACCCCCTTTCCTTCAGTGAAAACAAGACAGACTGTCCTGTTTCCCAGAGGGGCCCTGCCTTCAAGGTCTCCCCTCCATCCAGACTTCCCCACCTCACTATGCAGAAGGAGAAAATGCCTGCATCCCTCCAGACTCTGCCCACAAGTGACCAAAGGTCAATACCAAAACCCCCTGCCCAAGTAACTTTCCATAATATATAGCATGTAGCTGGAGTTTCAAATCAAGGAGCTGGGATGAGTTTAGGTATCATTTCATTCAACCCTTCTGAGGAGGAAACTGAGGCACAGAAACCGGGACACCACTAGCTCAAGGACACACAATGCACCAAAGCAAGGTCTAGGCTTAAACTCAGCTGTCCTGACTCCTGGGTCCAAAACTCGAATATGCCAGTGTCACAGAAATCCCAGGATGCTCTAGGTGCCACAGCTCCCTTTAACCACCCCCTGGATCTTCAGAAGAGGCTGGGCAGCCAGAGCCAGGCCAAGGTGTATCATTTCCCCTCCCCCAACCTGTTTCCCCAGGTAGTCCCGCAGGGTGCCCACTGAGTACTCACAGGCTGCCCGAGTACTGGCTGCCCCCAAGGAAGCCATACTTGTCCGTCTTGCGCAGGGCCAGCCCATTTATCTCCGAGTCTGAGCCCATGGAGCTCACATCATCTGCCAAGGACTCCAAGGTTCCAGACATTAGGCTCACAGAGTCCAAGTAGCTCAGGGTGTCCGGGGCCTGCCCTCGAGGCCCAGAGATGCCAGGTCCCAGGCTGGACGTGGAGCCCAGATCTTGAGAGTTTTCAGCAGGCTCTGGAGCTGGGGTCACTGTCACGACCGCTACCGGAGCTTCACACGTCCCCGGAGGGCCTGTACCAGGCCCTGAGGGGTCCTCAGGAGCCTGTCCTGCTGATGCTGATGTTGCTGTTGCACCTCCATGTCCACTTGTCACCTGTCCTGCTGCACCCCGTGCAGTCACTCCTGAGGCCACTGTGGTTCCTGGCTTAGGGGCAAGCGGAGGTTTGGCGGTCAGGGCCCCAGGTGCCGTTCTGGAAGGGGTCCTGGTGGGGGTCCCAGTGGAAGTTCCTGGTCCTGGAGCTGGTGAGGTTCCAGCCTCCTCCGTCTTCGGAGAGTCTGCACCTGAGGCCAAAGCCATGGACGTCTCGGCTCCTGCTACTGCAGCCGGCATGGGGAGCTCTGGGTCGGGGGGTACCTGCGTCTCCGGGGCTTCAGGTGAGGCCTCCAAAGCAAGCACCCCCACCGAGCTAACTGCGACCTCTGGAGCCAAGATCGGGGCCGGCCCCGGGACCCAGGCGGGCCGCGCCTCCCCGGGGGCCACCAGGGTGACAGGGGCCGAAGTGGCCGTAGTCACTGGCGGTCCCGAAGCCACCACCACGACGGGCCCGGCCCTGGAACTCCGGGGCGGTGGCGATGGGGCCGCGGGGGCACCATGACGGCGCGGCGGGGCCACCAGGGGCGCCCGGCCCGTCTCCATAGCCGCGGGCCGCCCCTCACATCCCCCCCGCCGGGGAGGCCGCAGAAGGCGCCGCCCCTCAGGCCGCCGGAGCCGCCCGTAGGGAAAGGGGAGAGGGCGAAGGGCGCGGCTCGGCGCGCGCCGGAGGCGGGGCGGCGCGCGGGAAGCAGCCGGGAGAGCGAAGGCGGGGCAGGGGTCTGGGGGCGCCCAGCGCCAGGGTCTTGCTCGTGCCCTCTCACCCCCTCGCGCGCTCTCGCCGCCGCCCCCTCCCTCCCGCTAGGGGCGAGCTGCCGACGCCGCGCTTGCGCACACGATGCAGAGCCGGCGGAGCCGCTAGCGTCTCTGCTTTCCACGCCTGCGCGCGGGTCGGCCCATCGCGCCCCTTTTTTCTCCCGCCTCCTCAGAGGACTTGGACGAATAATAGGAGAGAAGGATCTGGGTTCCTGCCAATCGATGGAGGAGTGGGTGGAGTTGGAGGCGGGGAGGGGGTGGGTATTCTGGAAAGAGGAAACGGAGAAGGCAGACGGCTATAAGACCAATCAGACGGTGAGTAAGGGAAATAGGCGGGACCAAGGAAGTAACCAATAGAAAAGCCGGGACCTGAACCTCCTGGCCAATAAACATGGGTGAAGAGTGAACGACCACGGAAGGGCGGGGAAGGAGGCAGGGCTGTGAGGTATGAAGAGGGGCCTGACAGCGTTCTGGCTAATAGGAATGATCAAAAGGGAGCCAATGAAAAGAGGAGTAAGCGGTCAAATTAACAGTGACATCTATTTGGGCGGTGACAGACAGCATCCACAGTCAATAGAAATAGCTGAGAAATTCTTTAGGTCTCCCAAAATGGTCAGAAAGGAATGAGAGTTGAGGGAAGGCGGGCCAAGCTTGCGATTTATTAGCCTTGTCAGCCAATAATTGTTTTCTTCCACTTTGCCAACAGTGAAGAAAGATAGATAGCTGTATCAGCCAATGGTAGCATTGAAGGGGCAGGGATGTTTCCCAGCAGGCGGTACCAGCCTAGTGACAGTCCGTGACAACCGGAGACAAGCGCCAGAGGGGGGTAACAGTTGGTGACAGCGCAGAGAAGGGGCGGCGGGGGGGAGGGGGGGTGGAGAGGGGAGAAAGAGAGGGAGACGGGTGGACGTGGTCGAGAGTGGAGAGGGGAGGGGGCGGGGGGAGTATGAGTGTGGCTCTTAACAAATAAGAGTGCCACGCTGCCCTTCCTGTGTCCTTTCTGGGACCCCATTATTCATTGAGCTCTTGAGTTCTCCTCTCTGGTGGTCTCTGAGGCTCTGAACCCCACCATGGATCCAATGCCCTGATCCAGTACTCTCCACCTCGCTATCCCTAATTCGACTATTCGAGTTCCCAAATTTTCAAGAGGCCCATCTCTCCACACCTTCCATTTCCTGTAGGAATCCCAAGCCCTAACTCCCTCTTTTCAGCTCCAATCTATCTGAGCTCCTCCCCAGGTCCCAATTCCTCAGATCTCATCCCTCTGGGTGCTCCCCCAAATCTATGAATCCCCAGTATCATAATCTCCCCCATGTGTTCCCATTCTTTGAGGAATCCAGGACTCCAGTCCTACCCAATCCCTTTCCCTCATTGTCTCATCTGTGTTCTTCATTTTCTGCTAAGAACCCCAATCTCATAAGCTTCTCTAAGTTGCCCTTAGACCACAACATGAAGACCTAATCTTATGTTCTCCAACCTGCCAACTTCTAAATACCCACCTCACTCTGACCACCATTCTCCTGAGCCCCAGAGTTAGATGGCCTCAATATCCATACAGCATCTAATATCCTGAATTGCAGTCAGACCTAGCTCCCAATTTCCCAGTTCTTGTTTTCTGAGGCTCCTTACTCCTAACTCAGACCCAGAACCTGTGAACACCCTTTCAGTGTCTGATCTCTTTTTTTTTTTTTTTTTTTTTTAGAAAGGAGGGGATTGAACCCAGGGCTTTGTGCATGCTAGGCAAGGAAGCACTCTACCAACCGAGCTATATCCCCAGCCCTCTGATCTCCTTCTTAACCTCCCAGGCTTGACTTAAGCTTCCTGAGTACTCCCCCCACCCCCACCAATCCCCTTTTTGGATTCCTCACCTCTCAGAATCTACTAATAAGTGGGCTCCTCCCTGGCCAGAACCCCCATGGTAACCATATAAGGTGTGTCAGCTGCCATCTGAAGCAGGGGAGGGAACAGATCAGGAAGCCAAGGGCAGCTGCTAAGTTTAGGGTGGCTCCTTCTCCCTTCTTAGAGACAACAGGTGGTAGGCCCCAGTGCCCAGAAAAGAAAATGTCTTAGAGGCATTGGCATGGGGCTGGAGGAGGGGGGAAGGGCAGAGGCACCTTCCTCAGGACATCAGGTCCTAAAGAAGGAGAAAGAGTATGAAATGGGTATCCTTCCAAACCTGGGGCTTCCTCTACCACCATTTCCCCAGACATCCATCCATTGCATGGTGGGAACTGGGCACTGAGGCCTAGAGGTCTGGGAAAGGTCAGTCAGCCAAGGAGGTTCTTGCCTAGAACGAAGAAAGAAGCCACTGGCCATTCCAGTTGCCTAGGAGGAAATGAAAGTGGTAGGCAGCTTCCCTCTTGGTTTCTTTGACTCCCCTCCTCTGAGGACCAGCCTCTACACAGGTACCCAGAAAAATGATCTAGAATCATACTAGACCACATCCTTCTGCTTCAAATCTTTCCATGCTCTCCTGGCTCTCCATTCTTACCTGGCATTGAAGGTCCTCCAGTGCCTGGTCACCAACTCCTTGCATCCTCTGTATAGCCTCATAACAACTGTGGCAACCTGAACATCTGATCTTTCACTGTCCAGGCCTTTGCCCATGGCATGTCTCTTGTCTAGCCTGCCTACCCTTCCACTTTCACCTGACTTGCTTCCTCTGGCCTTTAGTAAGCCATTCCTATACTCTTAAGACAGGGTGCTATGCCCTCTACTTCTGGGCTCCTTACCAGATGATATGTTATTCTTTGCATTTATTCCTATAGCTAGACTACAAATTCCACCAAGGCAGAGCCTAGTTGTTAATTTTAATGCAACATCTGTGGGATAAGAATTATGTTTCTTTCCATTTTATAGAGAGGAAACCAAGGCCCAGGGGGTTGACACACAAAGCCTGAGACCACAGAGAATCTTTCACAAAATTTCCCCTCTTCTTTTATTGATTGATTGATTTGTTTATTTGGTACTAAGGATTAAGCCAGGGGGTGCTATACAACTGAGTTATAATTTTTTTATATTTTTTTCTTCTGAGACAGGGACTTGCTAAGTAGTCCAAGCTGGCCTCAAGCTAGCAATCTTTCTACCTCAGCCTCCTGAGTAGCTGGGACTACAGGTGTGTGCCAGCATGCGCAGCCTCCCCTCTTCATAAAAGGTTGTGAGAGAGCTTCCTGAGACTCCTGTTTCCACAGATGGCTCTCTCCCAACTTTAAGCTCTGCCATCACCCACATACCCACACAAACTTGACTATGAATCCCACAATATGGGGTGAAGCAACAAGCATACCCCCAAAGCCCAGCACACTATTTGGCACATTGCAGATACTCAATACATGTTTACTGGGTTTAGATTTGAGTCTACCCCATCCAAGGGCAGAGGGGTACAGGGGTACTCATTTCTCTCCCAGAACTAAGCCTTAGCTTGGGCTCACTCTGAACTCTGGCACATTCCAGGCCCCTTCTGGGAGAAAGATCATCCCTTCCTGCCTAGGTCCTAAGGAGACCTGCATCCCAAGACCCACTCCCTCCTCCCTCTGTGTGCTCCAGCTGCTGCTGGCCCTCCAAGAAAGGAGAGTCTCTGAGCCGGGCTATTTTGGTATCTGGGGTGGGCACCCGCAGGGCTAAGGTTACCCTGGTATGCTAAGGGCTCCCTGGGGCAGGACTATATAACCCCAGAGGGACTACGCCAGGCTGACTCTCTGCTTCTTTCCAGCTGGAGCCACTGCCTTGCCCCCAGGAGACCTAAGACATGGTAAGTGAGAATCCCCAACCCCTGGCCAGATCCATTAGACTTAGGGCAGCCTCACCCTTTGGAAAACAGTAGCAATTTTCCAATCCAACAAAAGATAAAAAAAAAAAAAAAAAAAAAGAGTCCTCACTTCCTTGGTATCACTATTGAAAAACAGATAGATGGCCTAAAGGATCCAACCAATGATAATCTGCCCAGATATTCCACTCTTAGGTTTCCAGGCCCTTTCAAAGCCAGTTCCATCACCTCCTGTACTCCATCTTCCTAATGTTCTGGGACCAGCCAGATGAGGATTCTCACTCCCATTTTATAAATGAGAAAGTAGAGGTTCAGACAAAGAAAATGAGTGGATCAGGCCCAAACAGCAAACCAGGAATTGAAGGATGCAGGCTGGGGGTAGTCTGAAGTGAGAAAGCTTTTACCTATTGGGTAGGATGGAAGTATGGGACCCAGGAGCTGCAGATGGAAATTCAGGGGATACAACTAAAACAAGTCCCTCAGCCAAGAAGTCCCAAGGGAGGGAAAAGTTACTTTAGAAGAAGGGATTCAAGGATCTCTGAATCTAGCTGGGCATGGTGACATAAACCTGTAGTCTCAGCTACTTGGTAGGCTGAGGCAAGATTCCTTGAGCACAGGAGTTTGAAAGCAGCCTGGGTAACATACCCCTGTGTTATACATGCTTACTGGGTAACATACTCCATCTCAAATAGCCAAACAAAACAATAACAGTGAACACTGGGTCTAATCCATTGCCTGCCAGAGAGGTCTAGGGACTGGCCAATGGACCTCCTTGTCCAAACTTCACCCCTCAGGCACCTAAGAAGGCCAAGAGAAGGGCAGCAGCAGAGGGGAGCTCCAATGTCTTCTCCATGTTTGACCAGACTCAGATCCAGGAGTTCAAGGAGGTGAGTGGGGAAGGCTGGAAGCTGAAAGCTGACCAAAGGCACCCCTGCCATCACCCACAACCCCCTCCCTGGAATGTGCACCTGTTAGGGGGAGGGAAAAGGTTTAGAATTCCTTCTTCCCCTCCCCGCTTGGGGTGAGAGAGAACAGCTGGCAGGAGGCCAGAATCTGATATGTCTGGGGTGGGGATGCTGAAGCCAGGCCATGGGGAAACTCATCTCTCCCCACCCTGCCCTCCACAGGCCTTCACTGTAATTGACCAGAACCGAGATGGCATTATTGACAAAGAGGATCTTCGGGACACTTTTGCAGCCATGGGTGAGTCCCACAAATACTCAAGATGGTGGTCGGGGGAGGGTAAATTTTCAATGACCTTGGGTTCCAACCCCATCAACTCCATCTTGGGCTTCAATCTATGTTGTAAAAAATGGGCAGGATGGTCTAAGTTTATGGGAATGCACAGCCCTTGCCCCAGGACCCAACTTCCACCCCTGCTTCCCCGAACCCCCTTCAGGCCGCCTCAATGTGAAGAATGAGGAGTTAGATGCCATGATGAAGGAAGCCAGTGGGCCCATCAACTTCACTGTCTTCCTGACCATGTTCGGGGAGAAGCTCAAAGGTCAGTGAGGTGTCCTGGGTCCACGGCCCCAGCTGCCCCTTCCCAGACCTCTAGGGACCCTCCAGGCTCATGTTCCCCCTGACCCCTCAGGTGCCGATCCCGAGGATGTGATCACTGGAGCCTTCAAGGTCCTGGACCCTGAGGGAAAGGGTACCATCAAGAAGCAGTTGTAAGTAGCCCCTTTCAGTTGCTCCCATCCAGAAAGCCAGTAAGGGAAAAATAGGACTGGGCAATAGAATTACATTTCACAGCAAATAGTGGGGAAGGACAAAAGCAATCGGGGAGGCCAGAGTGTTCTGGAAACCAGTGAAAACGAGGATAAAGTGAGAGGGAGTGGACAGGAATCGGGGACCCAATCTTAACTCCTCCTGTCACCTTTCAGCCTGGAGGAACTGCTTACCACCCAGTGCGACCGCTTCACTCCAGAGGAAGTGAGTTGGGGAGTGGTTGGGAGAGGCTACGGGACGGGGGAGGGGGAGCACTGGGACCGGTTCGAGATGCCCGTGCGTGCGTTCTCCCGCAGATCAAGAATATGTGGGCAGCCTTCCCCCCTGATGTGGGCGGCAACGTAGACTACAAGAACATCTGCTACGTCATCACGCACGGTGACGCCAAGGACCAGGAGTAGAGGATGTTCTTAGGCTTCTAGCGGCCTAGGCTTCCAGCCAGTCGGTCCCACACCCCGATTCCCAATAAATTTCAACTGGTCTTTGTTTCTTATGGGCGGCGCCTTGTGTTTATGTGAGAGGGACTCAGGTAGGAGGCTGGGCGGAGACACTACCCAACAGGAAGGGAGTGTCCAACAAATGAATGAATGGGTCAGAGTCCGCGGGGGAAGGCTCCACCCCCTAGTCCGGTTCCTGCCAGTGAGAAGACTTGCGTGGCGCCCGGGAAGCTAAGTTTTTATTGGAGACATAGTTTGAAGGGGGACGACACCCCAAGATGGGGAGAGGCTGGCAAGAGCTGGGCTGGAGGCCCCTCCTGGAAGTGAGCCCAGGGCGAAGTGGGGGGCGGAGCTACAAACTCCGGGACGGGCTGAACCTTTAGCCGCGAGAACCTACACAAAGCAAGTGCAAGAGTGGGTGTGGGCCACTCGGAGGCTCCGGAATTAGAGGCTGGGCAGTCTAGGGCCCCGGGATTGGACAAGAAACGGACAGAAGGCGGAGCCGAAGTAAGGTCAGGCCGGGCCGGGCGGAGGCCTCAGAGAGCGTCCGACTGCTCGCCCTGAGCCTGGCTCTGCTGCATCTGGGCCTGCATCTTCTCCAGCATCTCTTGCATGCGGCGCAGCTGTGTGGGGCAAGATTATTGGCAGTGAAACCCGGAGACGCCAGGGAGGGACCTTGAAGAGGATCTGGAGCTTTGGGTGGAGGGGAAGCCAGGTGCTTGCTCACCTCTTCGTCCTTCTCGCGGATCAACTTCTCCGTCTCGGCCAGAGGCAGCATGGGCAGCGGGATCTCTGTGGCGCTCTGGCGGGAAAGTTTACTAGAGGGTAGAGGGAAGGGAGACAGGAATCAGGGGCGGGATCTGAAATTGTAGGTTAAGGCCGGAGGAATTTGAGTCTAGGAGGCGGGGCCGAGTCTGGGAGGTTAGAGTCGTAGGCCAAGTGGGTGGAGAAAGAGAGCTGGGGGGAGGGGCCATGGATAGGAAGGCGGGGTCAAGAGTGGGAACTGTGCAGTCTCGAACGCTGCCCCAGGAGTGGAGATTTGGAAGCATCAAAATCGTTGGTCCTGGTTCTGACCTGCGGCTGGTTCGATCACGAGCCCCAGGCCGGGCTAGGCTCTGTAGGCAGCGGGCCCGGTAGCCCTCGTAGAGCAGATCGTGTGTCACCTCTTTCAAGTCCTGCAGGTGTGTCTGCACCAACATCCGTCTCAGGTTCAAGAAGTCGCAGTGCTGTGGGTTCTCCACTGGGGGGCGGATCGGTGAGCGTCAGGGAGTTTCCGGTCCAAACCCACCCTCAGTCACCCGGGAGTCCTGCTGCTGATCTAGCCAAGGATCCTTAGTTTGCAGCCCAAGTATCCCTCTTTTGACTTTTAGGAATTCCCAGGACTTAGAACCCGCCCCAACTTTACATATTGGGTGCAGCTTCTGCTTGCTGCTGGCCTCAGAACTTGTGTTTGGCCTTACCCTCCACGGTCCCCCAGGAGTAGCGGCGTCCCCTCACTGGTCGCGTCCCACCGTCTCTCACCACCTCGCATGAACCGACGACTGCGAAAGGGATGCTTCCCTAGAGGGCAGGAGTCAGGAGTCACCGTGGGCTGCTTGTGGGCAAAAACCTCAGCCTCCAACTCCACACCTAACCTCTGCTCTGCCCCTTCCTCCTCTTCCTCTCATACCTTCATCTCAGCATCCTGTCTCTTGAAGTCTTCATCCTCATCAGAGTCACATTCTGGGAACTGGTAAATATTGATCTCCTCCTCCTTCAATTGGTCCCGTATCTCAGAGAAGAAAGATGCAGAGAGAGTGAGATCCACAGGCCATGAATGACAGACATTGCCTGGCCAGAGACAGTGAGATACAGGTAATCAGAGAGACAGAAAGACGGGAATGACAGAGATGGTGAGAGACAGACATACAAGATAACATAAAAACAAAATCAAGTCACAGTGATGATAAACAGGATTCTAAACAGACCATGAAGGACCTGAGAAAAACAGTAGTTTAAGGCTCTGAAGAGCTTAGGATAGGAGATCATCAGCATCACAAGGCCAGAGGGATGTCAGGGGTCATCATGTCCATGCCCTTGCTCTTAAGCCTTTGCTGAGTATCTAGCCCTGGGGCTGTATATCCAGCCTGTCACCATCCAGGGATTGAACCCAGGGGCACTTCACTTTGCCAAGTTATGGGGATGAGAAGTAGTACTTTTGGCTTTGGAGACAAGATCTTCCTGCTTCAGCCTCCAGTGTGACACCAAGCCCTGTTTCAGACTGGCTTGTGTGTGTGTGTGGTGTTGGAGATTAAACCCAGGGCCTGGTGCATGCAAGGCAAGCACTCTACCAACGGAGCTGTATCTCCACCCCTCAGACTGTTTTAAACTTCTAAAGACATGGCTACTTTTGGCAGCTTGCTACCCACCTTTCCCGAAAACTCTCCCACAATGTTCCAAAAAGACTACCCCAAGATCAAAGAAGTCAAAGCTGAGATCGGTCATGACTTTTGGCTTCACTTGGGGCCAAGGACACCACGCACACCTTCTGCTTGAGGGCCTGGGTTTCCTTGGGCATCAGGGCATCTGCTTTGCCGATGACTGGAATGATGTTGACTTTCTCGTGCACAGCCCGAAGGAAGGCCACATCTAGGGGCCGGAGCCTGCACCCCAAAATTAATCAGGGCCCAGTCCCAGGGGACAAAGCCTCCCTCGTACCCTCCCCAAGACCCCCAACCCTTAGGATCCCCCTTCAGACCCCCGGCCGAAGGGTGAGATGAAGTAGAGACAGCAGTGGACCCGGGAATCCTGGATGTTCTTCCGGTTCAAACCACTCTCGTCCCTGAGATACTGCTCAAATTGCTCCTCAATGAAGCGCACCACAGGCAGCCAGCTGGGGTATAGAGAGAGGAGATGTGTCAAAGATCAGAAGCCACAGGACAGGCAAGGAGACAAGGCTTGCCGAGGTTATGGGGATAAGAAGTAGTTCCTTTGGCTCCATCCATATATCAAGGGAAACTGGTGGGGGTGTTGGTGTGAAGTTAAGAAGCATACTTTGGGCCAGATGGCTTCCAGAAACAGGTGCCTCATTTTGAGTCAGGGAACCAGGTCAGACCAGCCCTGCAACTGTCCCCTGGGCCTCCACACAGTTGCTGCTTTGAGAGGCTCAGCCCCTGTCCCTTTCCCTCCTCCTCACCAGTCTGAGCAGTCCACAGAATCCCCAAAGCCAGGTGTGTCCACCAAGGTCAGCTTCACCTTGACACCCCCTTCTTCAATCTCCACACCCCTGCGCTCAATGGTCAATGTTTGTGTCAAGCGAGCTGTGGGGGCAAGGAGAGGACAGAGGATAGCATAGGGCTCAAAGCAAGACTAATTTCCTTTCCCAGTGTTACAGTTGCCCCATCCCCTTTTCAAGGGAGGAAACAGTCTCAGAAAAGCAGTGGGCACTGAGTGAACTTGAAGGAAGAATGCAACCTAGGGAAAGGGGTCAAGGGCACTGCCTGGAGATGGCAGCAGGATCTTACCGCTAGCCTCTGGCACTTGCCGATCCTCATAGAGGTTGGTGAGGAACAGGCTGTTGATAAGGGTGGATTTCCCCAGACCTGACTCCCCTGTGGACAGGACAGGCCAATTGATGAGATGAGGGGACAGCCAGGGTCTTCTGAAGACACCTCCACCCCAAGTCTCTCTCTAGAGCCTCCAGACCTGCCACCATGAGTGTGAAGTCAAACCCCTTCTTGACGGACTTGCGGTGCAGCTGGTTGGGGAGCGCAGCAAAACCCACATACTCCTTGTCCTGTTGGGGGTGGGGGTGAATAAGACTCCTGAGAGTGGCAGGCAGGACCTCAGTATCACCTGAACCCAAAGACTTGGAAAAGTCAGCCTATTATGGGACAACCCGGGTCTGGGGACTGTGTGGGGGAAGGGGGTTAGGCTGGGGATGCCTAGCTTCCTGGGCACAAGGACTCACCATGGCTCCGCTAGCTGTCTCTGCACCTGCTATCACTCCCCACTTCCTCTGGTAGGGCAGGAAGTTGAATGCAGCAAACAAGGGGGCGGGCAGTTGTAGGAAGCTGAGATGATCAAACCAGCCCAGACCAGAGAGGTGGGGAAAGCCAAATCCAGGAATACCTAGACCCGCAGCTTCAACCCCTCCGTTCTCTACATGCCTTTATACCAAGCCCCTTTGTCACCAGGGTGCCAGGTGAGGTATGGGCAGGGAGGAAGGAAGCAGGCTGCTCTCTTTAGCAGGTGTGACAAAGTCTTGAATCAAGATAACAAAAATGTTCCTAGGGTTTCTGATGGACCAAAACCCATAATGGGATTAGAAGTAGAAGGGGCTATCAGACAATGGTGCACACCTGTAATCCCAGCGACTCAAAGACTGAGGCAGAAGGGTAGGTAGCAAGTTCAAGGCCAGTCTTGCAATTTAGCAAGACCCTCAGCAACTTAGTGAGACCCTGTCTCAAAAATAAAAAATAGGGCTATGGTTGTGGCTCAGTGGTAGAGCGATTGCCTGGCATGTATGAGGCACTGGGTTTGATCCTCAGCACCACATAAAAATAAATAAATAAAGGGATTGTGTTCATCTACAACTGAAAATATTTTTGTGTGTGGTGCTGGGATACAACTAAAAATATTTTAAAATATAAAATAAGGGCTCGGGAAGAGCACTTGTCTAGCATGCTTGAAGCCCTGTGTTTGATCCCCAAGACCACCAAAATAAATAAATTATATATATATTATACACACATATATGTAAAATTTAAGATAAAAATTCCTGTGAATATAGATCAGTGGTAAAGCACTCCCATATTTAATACCCAATGAAAAAGGAGGAAAAATTACAAAGGGGCCCCAGCACCATAAAACAAACAATATTGAAAGTAAGGGGCCATCAATTTTTTGGCTCATGTATTAGACTTTTTCTCCTCCTGCAAAGCTGGAGATTGAACCCAGGACCTCACACACTAGGCAAGTACTCTTCCACTGAGCTAGAACCCATGGACTTTTTGATGTTTTTGGTGCTGTGGATCAAATTCAGTGCTAAACATTGAGCTCTACCTCATTCCCCTAATAGATTTTCTTCTTAGTTGTTGATGTACCTTTTATTTAATATATTTATTTATATGTGGTGCTGAGAATCAAACCCAGTGCCTCACACATGCTAGGCAAGTGCTGTACCACTGAGCTACAACCCCAGCCCCCTTAATAACATTCTTAAGGACTGGGGCTGGGGCTCAGCAGTACACACTTGCCTGGCATGTGTGAAGCACTGGGTTCGATTCTCAGCACCACATATAAATAAATAAATTAAATTAAGGTCTATCAATAACTTAAAAAATATTTTTAAAAAAACTTTAAAAAACACTCCAGGTCTTTGGACACCACTGTCAGAGAAAACTTACTTCAGAATTTTGGCCAAAGAACCCATTGATCAAACCCTTCAGAGACTCCCCAGTGACCTCAGAATCAAATTGGAGCTCTGGCCTGGCAGACAGTTTCTGCCACCAGTCCTCATCACTCCATCTCAGTGGCCCAAACATACTGGCCCTGCCCACATTTTCTGTACCAGGGAAACACCTTTTCCTCTTTCAAGGGGCTCTGCCTCCTGTACAAAATCTGCCCCAGATACTCCAGACAGAGTCCTTTCCCTCCTTTAGACTCCCCAGCACCTTTCAGAGGCCCCTAAAAACCCACATGTAAAAGCTAGGGCTGTAGCTCAGTGGCAGAGTGTTTGCCTAGCATGTGTGGGGCACTGGGTTCTATCCTTAGCACCACATTAAAAAATAAAATAAAATAAAGGCATACTGTCTATCTACAACTATTTTTTTAATTTTTTTAAAAAAAACCACCTGTGCTTACCTGTCTCTGCTCCCAACTGAGCTCTCTGAGGGCAGAGATCATGTCTTCCCAGTTTCTGTATTCCCCAGTGTCTTTAAAGATACTGATGAATGATATACTAGATGCATGGATTCTTGAAAGAATGAATAAACGAAGGTCGTCAGAGGCAAAGGCTGGGAGACTGCAGGACACGTAAAAGGCACCTCACCTGGAAGTCAGAAAGAACTCCCCAAACCCCAATGCCTAATATTTACTTGGTGTACAAACTTGGGCAAGTTACTTAACTTCTCTGAACTCCAGTTTCCTTGTGTAAAATGAATTACACATATTTAAGTTTTGCTATCAGAATGCCTGTGGGTGCTGGGGGTGTTGGGAGAGGTGGCACATGCCTGTAATCCCAGTAGCTTGGGAAGCTGAGGTAGGAGGATCAGGATCTTTAGTTCAAAGCCAGCCTAAGCAAAAGTGAGGTGCTAAGCAACTCAGTGAGACCCTATCTCTAAGTAAAAAACAAAATAGTGCTGGGGATGTGGCTCAGTGGTTGAGTGCCCCTGAGTTCAATCCCTGGTACAAAAAAAAAAAAAAAAGATTCACCCAGATCTTCATGTATATATTTTTTTATCTCTCTTTTTTTAATGGTCCTGAAGCTCAGACTCAGAGTTCCACATGCTAGGCAAGCACTGAACCACATCCCCAGCTGCCATATGTTTACTTTATCCTTACTTAAAGTTCATTTCTAACACTGTTTCCCTTATGTAACCATAGAAAAGTTGCTTCTCGGTTTGGGGATGTACTCTGGTAGAATGCTTGCCTAGCATTGCTAGGTCCTAGGTTCAATCTCTTGCACCACCAAAAAGAAAAAAAAAAAAATTGCCTCTGTGGGTCTTTCTCTCACAGGAACTTCCTTGTAGGTTTTTCAAGGTACATATGACTATAGAGACATGCAGTTATTTAGAATTGTGTGACCTTACTAGCTATGTGACCTTGGATGTCTTACTTTAACTTCTTGGTGACTCAGTTTCTTCATCTGTACAACAGTACCATTAATAATTCTCCCTTAAGCTGGGCTCAGTGGTGCATGTCTGTATTCACAGAAGCTCATTTGGGAGGCTGAGGCAGGAAGATTGTAAGTTCAAGGCTACCCTCACAAATTAGCAAGACCCTGTCTCAAAATATAAAATTTAAAAAGTCTGGATGGGGGCTGGGTTGTGACTCAGAGGTAGAGCACTCACCTACCATGCTTGAGGCACTGGGTTTGATCCTCAACACCACATAAAAATAAAAATAAAGATATTGTGTCTCCCTATAACTAAAAAAAAGAAGAAAAAAAAAAAGATCTGGCTGGAAGCCAGGCTGATGGTGCACTCCTGTAATCCCAGCGGTTCAGGAAGCTGAGACAGGAGAATCAAGAGTTCAAAGCCAGCCTCAGCAATGGTGAGGTGCTAAGCAATTCAATGGAACTCTGTCTCTAAATAAAATACAAAATTGGCTGGGGATGTGGCTCAGTGGTTGAGTACTCCTAAATTCAATCTCTAGTACCAATAAAGAAAAAGGTCTGTCTGGGTGCAGTGGTACATTCCTGTAATTCCTGCAGCTCAGGAGGATGAGGCAGGAGGATTAAGAGTTCAAAGCCAGCCTCAGCAATTTAGGGAGGCCCTCAGAAACTCAGTGAGACACCCTGTCTCTAAAAAAAATACAAAACGGGCTGGGGATGTTCCTCAGTGGTTAGGTACCCCTGAGTTCAATCCTCGGTACTCCCCTAAAAAGGTCTGGGGATGTATCTCAGTGGTAAAACACCTGGGTTTGATCCCCAGTATCTAAATAAATAAACAAATAATTTCCCTCCTGGGACATAACCAAGATTACAGCAAGCCAGACGTTGGTGGTACAGGCTTGTAAACCCAGTGACTTGGGAGACTGAGGCAAGAGAATCCCAAGTTCAAGGCTGGTCTTGAAAAATTAGCAAGACTCTATAAAAAAAAAAAAAGCCGCTGGGAATGTAGATCAGTGGTAAAGTGCTCTAAATTTAATCCCAAGTACTGCAAAAAAAAGAAAAGACATACTACGGCACATGGGTTAATACGGATTAATACACAAAACTCTTAGAATAGTGCTTTGGCATATGAGATGAGCTCATGCAAATGCTAGTTATTATTATTACATGAGCTGAGCGATATAGTAGTTCTGCCAGCTAATATCCAGTGACTGCTCTTGTGGATTAGTTGCCAAGGATCCAGACAGGGTGAATTAAGTCAACATTTCAGTCCTCTGGGGAGAGAGACAGCCACAAGTAGGTGTGACTCACAGCATTCATGCTAAAAGTGCCAGAAGAGAAACAGTATTTAGATATAAAGGGAAGAGATGATTATATCTTTCCCACTCTACCACAGCCCCTCCTCCTCCATTTCTCATCAGACTGAGCAGCCCCAATGTCTTAGTTAAAACTCTGGGAGGTTAGGAATATATTCAGTGGTATAACATTTGCCTAGCATCTGGGAGGCCCTGAGTTCCACCCCCAGCACCACAAAACAAAACAAAACAAAAAAACCCTACATCACTCTGAACTCCTCTCATCCTCACCCTCCACAAGTATATCCAGTTGATTTCCATCAAAAAAATTGGTCTCCTTTTCTCCATAGCTTCCAACTCCTGCCCTGGGTTCAGACTCTGATCTTCCCAGAATTATTATTATTTTTTAAATTAATTTTTAGTTTTCGGTGGACCCATCTTTATTTTAATGTGGTTCTGAGGATGGAACCCAGCGCCCCGCACATGCCAGGCAAGCGTGCTACTGCTTGAGCCACATCCCCAACCCTTCCCAGAATTACTGAACAGCCTTTAAATAGCATGCAAGCCACACATGATGGCACATACCTGTTTAACTCAGGAGGTTGAGGCACAAGGATTGGAAGTTTGTGGCCAACCTCATCAACTTAGCAAGACCCTGTGTCAAAATAAAAAAGGACTGGGGATATAGCTTGGAAAAGTGCCCAGTACCCAGAAAAAAATAGAAGACCCGTTTTTGCTACTTTGTATGTATGTTCTGTGCTATTTTCGGGTGGCGGGGTTGGGGGATACCAGGGATTGAACACAGGATTGCTTAAACACTGAGCCACATAGCACTGAGCACTGAGCCCTTTTTATTTTTTATTTTGAGACGGGATCTTGCTAAGTTGCTTAGTGCCTCGCTAAATTGCTGAGGCTGGCTTTCAACTTTTGATCCTCCTGCTTTCGCCTCTTGAGTCACTGGGATTACAGGCATGCACCCCGTCGCACAGCTACTTCACATTCATTTTCTATGTAGCACTGATCTTTTTGAAATCATTCTATGATTTCATAGACACCAACACAGTCATTATCTACTAAATTTTCCCATGTGTTGCTTCTGTGTTGTTTTGGGTATGCAGAAATCCATTCTGAATGTATTCATAGCAGACCACAAATTTGGCAGAAACAATACTGGTGAGTGAACAGCAACACCCATACTTCTTATCCTGCTTTAAACATAATTTTGTGTTTGTCTTTGTGGTATTAGGGATCAAACCTAGGGTCTCATGTGTGGCAAGCAAGTACTGTACCATTGAACTGTACCCCTAGCTCTTATAATTATTTTCAAACACATCAGTGTAAAACTTAACTAGCTTCTTCAAGCAAATACAACTTTAATTCATTAGGAGCTCCTCGGGCTAGGCATGGTGGTACACACTTGAAATCCTAGTGGCTCTGAGGCTGAGGCAGGAGGATCACAATTTCAAAGCCAGCCTCAGCAACTTAGTGAGGTCCTAAGCAACACAGTGAGATCCCACCTCAAAGTAAAAGGGTTGGGGATGTGATTGTGCCCCTGGTTCAATCCCTGGAGAAAGAAAGAAAGAAAG